AGGCTGATTTATACTTCAAAACTAGGTTGTCTGCGTAGGTGTCCCTGTGAATCAGAGACGTCCCAGCCCCCTCCGCAGGCACTCTGCCTCACCTCTCCCAAATTGTATGTGACTGCAGACAGAGCTGCAGACAGGAGGCCTCTGATTTGTCAAATCTACATCCGCTCTAAACTATGCGTATTTCCTGTTTGCTAGCTGACCAGCATGTTTTGTTTGTATGACCGCCATTGTGGAAAATGACTTGTGAAGTTCGACCAGCTAGAAGAGCGAGGTGCAGGAGAATGCTAAGACCCTTTTTTCACCTGGATCCCCACTCTGGGCCAATTTATACTTCTGACGCATAGCCTCTGCAACCGTCAAATCTGTTTCTGTGCATGACCACGCCCCCCACACAGAGGCTCTACAACAGTCGTTGCGCATCTCAAAAAAATCCTGACTACACGTTGGAAGGTCGCAAACCCGCGCAAAAGTGCTCAGGCAAAAAAAAAGCTGTGATTGGTCCTTGGTATGCCTTTGCGGCTGTCTGTGTGGTCGTCCTTCTTGATCCGGTGCTGGGGCGCGTCATTATTAAAAAGTAATAACAACAATGGATAACCACAACGAAAGGTTGATCAAGGATGCTCGGAAGTACAACCACCTGTACGATGCCTCAGACATGGTTTTGGAAAATAAACACTCCCACCAGCGCCGACGTTCTCAGGGATGAAACTGTTGTGCAGCCCTAGAAATTCCAGACCAACGATGCAGAAGAATACCAGCAAAACTGGTTCGCGACATTTGATGTGTGCGTTTTCAGAAGTATAATCTGCCCTTTTTTCGCCCTCATCTCATCCGTTGTCGCACAAACTTGTCCCCATTTCCTCACCGCCTCAGACGTATCTAGACCTAGAGCTAGTTCGTGATTGTCCCTCTTGCATTGTGGTGTGGAATAACATTGCTCAGATCATGCTTCAATTTTGGGCATAAATCAAAAATATCTGCGACAAGCTCATCACCTGCGCGCAGGCAACGGCGTGCAGAGGAGGGGGGTGGGGACCTCCGCTCTAGGCTAATCTCCTCTCCTCTGCGATTTGGCAAAATATAAATGAGTTGGTCAATCAGGAATTCAATAACCTTCATTTAATTTTACCTTCTTTGCGTAGGCTAGCAGGTGTCAGGGTTCGGTGTTCTCTGCTCTGCTTACTCTCTTCCACAGGTGGTTATTACTGACAGGTGGACATGGTCCCACACCTGCGGCTAATTGAGGCTCCTCCACTGAGCTTAAGAGGAGCGTTTAGTCAGCTGAAAGACGGCAGAGTGTTAAATCGTTGTGGTACGCCTAGACCTCTGTCCTGTTGACAGATCTCTGAAACCTGATGTTTTGGATTCCTGATTCTAACTTTTCTCCTGTCTCCCTCAGTTCATTGAGCTCTGGATTGCTCACCCGCCTGTCTCCATGCTCTGAGGACTGGTCTCTGATTCCCTGTTGCTCAGATTCTGCTCTGGTGATCCCCTCGAGCCCCCTCGGTACTACTGAGTCAGACAAGAGACGCCTTTCCTTGATTCACACTGGTTTCTTCAGCTGCTCCTCAAACCTGCCTCTGCTGCGGAGCTGCTCGGGCCCCCACCTAAAGGACGGATTATACTCCTGCAACCGGACACATCAAATGTTGCTTGCGTCTGGTTGCGAACCAGTTTTGCTGTTATGCTTCTGCAACATCAGTCTGGAATTTCTAGGGACGTACAGCAGTTTCCTGCCAGAGCGCAAGGGGGAGCCTATTCGAGAACTCGTGAGAACTTCAGCAGATGGTCACGAGAACTTCTTTGACAGCGCCAGCGGCGCTGTTTATTTTCCAAAATAACATGTCTGAGGCATCGTACAAGTGGTTGTACTTCAGAGCCTCCTCGATCAACCTTTTATTTTGGTCATCTATCATTGTTAATACTCCTCGGTTTTTAAAAATGGCACGCCCCAGCACCGAGTCAAGAAGGACAACCACACAGACAGCCGGAAAGGCTTACCAAGGACCATTTACAGCTGCTTTTTGTTTGTGCACTTCCGCTTGAAGTCTGCGCGGGTTTGCAACCGTCCAACATGTAGTTAGGATTTTTTTGACGTGAGCAACAACGCTTTCGAGAACCTCTGCGCGGGGGGCGTGGTCACACACAGAGACAGATTTGACGGTTGCAGAGGCTATGCTTCAGAAGCATAAATCTGCCTTAAGTCCCACCTGTAGATCAGCCACCTCCTCTCAATGGAGAGCTGTGAGTTACAGAGCGCTTTCCTCCACTCACCCTCCCTGGATAGGTTATCCATACCTGGCATTAAGCAGAGCAGCAAGAGTGCAAGTTTCTTTTGGTTTTCTTAGTCCTAATGAGTTTCCTCTTTCCTCCCGCAAAACTCCGAACACTGACGTTCCGAACCTCGTCTGCAGCTCCTGTTCTGAACTGACCTTATTTTTCTGTAGTCAAACATCTTAAACTTCTTCTGTTTCCCCTGTCTGTGTCTGCAAACACCTAAAAGCCATGACAGCAGGCAAGAATTCCATAAAATTATTTTTGGTCATAATTTGGTAATAAAAATGTAATAAGCAAATGAGAAAAGACATTGATTTGACATTAGTGTTTACACCCTTAGTGAAATAAAGCTTTTTCTATTTTTATAAACAACAGCTCAGATATGTTAGCATAGTACACTTTAACATGGAAGGCCTAAAGCAAACGAGTTATTTTGTTCAGCCAGGCACACGTCAAGGGAGACTCTCCTCCTCCACTCTCTTTATCTCACGTCTGAAGGTTCCTGAAGCTCAAAGAGAAATGTTACAGTCTGTTTTTTAGTAATTTTACCATCACAACTTAGCCTCTGGACAATTTGCAGCATCTATCCGCTGGGCATAGAAAGAGAGAGAACCCTATGCGTTTGATTTTTTCTGTCCTCAAACAACGTCAGGGGTAGGACTGCATGAACGGGTAGGACTGTAGTCATATTCTTTAATAAAGAGAAGACCCAAATACTCATCCACTAGCACTTTGACATTTTGACATCAGCAATGACACAGTCTCACACAGAAGAAATAGAACTGAATGCTGTTGGAAGACTGAACTATTTTGGGCAGCTAACTATAAAGGATCTCAAACAGGAGTCTTGTGAAAAGATAATTTAGAATTTAAGTATTTTCAGGAAATAAGAATGGAAAGCTTACAGCCCATCTCTACAAAAATCAGTCCATGGCAAACTAAAACAATTGCCACAGACAGTCAACACATTAGAGGGATCATTTTTGGTATAAATCATTTTATAACTAAAATTAGTAAGCCATGTTTTATAACAAACCTTTATTTTGACAATATTGCACATATTGCACTTTTCTAATTTTTGAGATATAAGAGCTGTCACAGTGTCTGTGCTGCAGCAGATGACACTGGTGAGCAATGAATGAAACGTTAAGTAACGAACCTTTGGGCAAAGCATTGGGTTGGAAGGCTTCATGAGGCTTAATTTGGTGATCACAAGTTATAGCCAGAAGCCACTGTGTTTCCATAAGGCTGAAAGGCAGGAAAAGGTAGGGTAACAAACTTCTGGGAACACACTCAAGCAGAGTGATCGTTTACATTCTGGCAGCAAGTAGAGAGTGAGGCAAGTATATAGAGACTGAAGCAAGTTAATAATTAGTGGGAGTAGATGGAACTAGTTATGATGCTAACTGGTGGTTGGAAAGTGACTCAAATTCACCATGAAGTGGGAGTAATTGGTCCAAAACTAAAAAAGAAATAAAACCAAAGCATGACTCAAGTAATAAAACTAATTAAACAGTTTGACCTCAACCTTAACCTAATGACACCTCAGTTAAAAGTTGAACTTCAACAGTAAAAGACAGTTCAAAATAAAATGGGTTTTTAACTTCGACTTAAAAAAGAACTCAGACTTTCAGCACTTTTACAGTCTTCTAGAAGTTTGTTCCAGATAAGTAGAGCATAGGAACTAAATGCTGCTTTTCCATGTTTGGTTCAAGTTCTGGATGTACAGAGTAGGGCTGAACTAGAACACCTGAGTGTTGTCAAAGTTTGTTATGTATTGTTATGTATTTGTCATGTACAATAGTTTGTTATGATTGAGGTCCTGATCCATTCAGTTATTTTTTTTTATATATATATATAAACTAAAAAAAGCTTTCTGATCCCCTTGAGTAAATATGCTTACCTCAGCACGATGCTGCCACCAACTTGTTTCACTGTTGGATTGGTATTTTCAGGGTTCAATTTGCAATTTAAGCTCTCTGACACACAAAGTGTTTTGCATGTTTGCATGTTCATCTCCCTCCTTCAACATATTCTTCCAGATGTTTATTTTGTTCCTTACTTTATTCATTAAGACACTAACTTGTCTTCTGTGTCCCTTTGCTTGAAAATGTGATTTCTAGTTTTGTTTTTTTCACAGATTTTTCTCCAAAAAGTTTCATAGTTTCTCACAGAATAGCTGTATTATTTCTTTTTATAAGACTGAATAAACCACACAAGCAAATTCTGTTCTAGTTCTGTTTTTCTATAAAGGATATTAAACCCAAATACACAAGACTCTTCAGGATTCTTTGAAACATTCGTATCTATAGGTTTCCTCTAGCCTCAAAGTCAACTTTTTTTATGTAGGAGTTAATCCAAAATTTGTTTTATGGAAAACAAGACAGAGGAATGTTACTTTTAAACAGTTTTATAACATGGCCATTTTTTTTATTTTTAAACATTAAAGAAGTGAGTTATACAGTTTAGGGGTCGTGCTCTTGGCGCAAAACACAATAACAACGTTTCTTCACACCTGCTACTGTCTGACTAAGAGGTAGGGGGTTATAACCTGTGACTTTTGAAGAGCTTGGATATTGCTATAGTTCAGATCAGCTGCAATCCAAAGGACTGAAATGAGAGAGGGTCATCAGCTGTGGAGTGGGACCTATGTGTCACCTGGTGACGCCTGATGCCTTTATAAAGTGATGAATTTGTTGCAGTACGGCTCTAGTACAGAGCACCCTCTAACGTTTTGCAGGATTTATCTTGGTCTTTCCTGATATTCTCTGCATGTGTGCAACACAGTCAAGAGCGACATTTCATTGAAAACAAGCTACGTGTCCCACAGGTATGAGAAAGTATTCAGATAAGAGCTAAACGATGGAAACACAGGATGAACTGTTATTGTATTTCTTTGTGCTTGTCTTTCTACAAGGTGATCTGAGGATGAAGATAGTGATCTTATGTGTTTTGGTCATTTTGTTCTGTTCAAGAACGAAGGAGATGCCTATGCATAAAAGAAGACAACATGGGTAATTTTACAACTCTTATATTTCATATTTAGTTATTTCATATTTGGTTAAACATATTTGGCTAACAAAGAAAAAAATAAATCAAAACAAAATTTTTTACTCAAAGTTTTTTTTATCGGTAGCTATGTATTATAAGAACGTATAAAAAATTTAAAGGCCAATTTTTTTTTTATGTAAAATTTTTCATAGACGAATTTTGTATAAGAGAGAAAGTGGGCCAAACATAATCCAAAACCTAAAAAGGCATTCGGATGGAACATTCACCAGCGACTTCATCAACAACCTTGACAGGATGAAGGCTAAAGATTTTGTGGAGTGGCTGGCCATCACCAAGGAGGCGGGGTGAGCATAAATAATCTTTGTGTTTAAAGATTTCGCTTTAATTAAACAGGGAGAGCATGTGATGATTTGTAGTACCACATCACATGTAGTTTTAACAACCAGGTATTTATATGTTTTGCAGATGTCATGAGAACCTGCTCCAAATTCCAACAGAAGCATGAGACGACAAAAGAAGACTCCTCCTCTGAAGTAGATTAACAAAATAGTAATGTTCATTTCAAATTTGCTAATGTATTGTCAAATAAAATTTGGGCGTTTGTACATTTAAGTTTGACCTTTTAAATAAAATGATTAATATGTTTTGAAATAATGTCTCAAAGCTTTTAAAAAATTTATCTATAGGATACATTTTTTATAATTTGAAAATAAATTGCTCTTACTGGAGTGTTGTAACAGTAGATATATAAATTGAATACAAACTCACACTTTGGAAAAGTTTATTTATAACTTATTTATTGGGTGATTGAACATGATTTTAAGATAACGCGAAATTGGGGTCAGCATATATAGCATTTTCTATTATGATTAACCGAATCTAACACTGTGGTATTATTATTATTATTGAACTGAAATGGACTGAATGAAACTGAATCAGGCTGAATGGAAGTAACTGGTTTGATCATAAATCAATTTGAACCACAATACTGAAAACACTGGAATAGTTTTTCAAATTTTTTTATTTTTATTATTATTATTATTATTATACAAATTAAGTACAATGGAAATTAATTATACTTTTTTCCAGAGAATTTAGACTGAAGTCCTGTACAACCTAATGGGTTCATTATTGTCAGGGATTCCCAAATGGTTGCAATATTTGATTCTGGAAAAAAGAATTTCAGCTGCTGCTCGTGGTAGTCACTTTGCCCACATGTGGGTGCTGTTGTTTTAAAAATAGTGCCTCTCATGCAGAGAAATGGTCCATTTGGGAAATGTTTAGCAGAACAAGCTTTATGTTATTCTAAAGAAAACTGAATAAATTTCTTTTGCAGTGCAGGCGGTGCACATCTTGTGCTTTGTCCATACAAATTTGCATCTTATGTAATAAATGATGCTAAAACTGAGTGAAGGGAGGGGATAGTGGATTTTAGTTTGGTGGAGGAAAAACAGTGGGATGCATTCCATGGCGAATGTGTAGGTGTTATGCTGCCTGTATCTATATATTACAAATATATGTGGAGTGCTCCTAGTTCTCACTCAGGTGGTTTTGTTCAAAAATAGCACCTCTTCATGCAATGAAGATCCTGACAACCACTCCTTGGGTTCTATCATTCCTCCTTTGTCATTTTTCTTGGAGCAGAAAATGAATATAGGGAAGGAGAGTGGAAGGCAAAGGGAATAGAGCTTAGCTGAGTACATACAGGAAGTCATTTGATCTCAGTGATGGCCCAACGTGGGATTAGACAGTAGGAAAAACCCCTTTAATTTGGAATTCACTTTGTCTGACTGTGAGAATAAATTCAGCAGGACTGCTGAACAGAAAACAACGTAACAATTTGAAAAATACCCACAGGTATGATCGGTCACTAAAGGTTAAGGGCCTGTTGGTACCGTGCCTCACAAAAATATCCATATTGACTGGACTTTGTACATATTGTGATGTTAAAACCCCAAACTATAATGAACAGTACTGATATTTTATGTGGTAGACAAATACAGTATTGTGCATAATTGTGAATTGGAAGAATAAATGTTGCACTTGTATTATTAGGGTTGCTGTCCTGCTTCCCCGATCATAAACCTGGACAGCCCTCTACAGCTTCTGGTTTCTTCCCAGAACCACCCCATATCTTGCTCCTTCCAGAATGTTTGCCATTGGGATTGGCTGGTCAGAAAATGCAGTCTAGAGCTTTTAATTTTATCACCAAAGTTAAACATTATTTTACTTCAAAAAGCATACAATATGTAAAAAAAAAAAAAAAACTAAAAAAAAACAGCACAAAAAAGACAAGACTTGATAAACTTGGAGCAAGAAATATTAAAAACAAAGAGAAAACTTACATGTAAGCCCCAAATTAAATGAATTATATTATTATTGTTATGTATCATTATTATTTCATTTTCATTATCTAAGAAAAAGGTTTGTTTCAGATAAGAAATTAGAAAAGTACCAATAAAGAATGAGACAAAGAACAAATAATCAAATCCTTTTGTAATGATTTATTCATACTATTTTAGATATGTGTGAAATTTGACATTATTGCTTTTCCCCCTGCTGACCAGCCTCTTAATGCTTCTGCTGGTAGTTTAATTTATCATTTGAGTTCAAAATCTAAGAATCAGACTAGAAAGACTCATGGCGATCTCTCTAATCTTTAGCTCTTCCCACAAACTCACTTAGTCATAATTCAGGGCTTTATACGGAGTTAATATTACCTTCAGTCAACAGAAAATATGTGAATGAAATTAAAATATTTCTTTAATCCTAGATTAACATACTTTGGACTTTATTGCAAAGAAAAAGAAAACAGATTAGGTTTTAATTGGCAAAAATTAAACATAAAATTACACTGACAAATATTAAGTGTGGAAATTATAATTGGGACAAAATTTGTTCTTTGAATACATTTTTTCTTTAGTTTATTCGTAAATAATTTCCATCAAACCCCTGAGACCTGTTTGTTGCATTGCTGTTCAGAATAAAGAGGGCTGATAAAATCTTTTCAAACCCCTGCATCTGTCTGCTTTCTGTTGAGAACTTAGTACTACTTTCTATTGCTTTGTCACAGGGCTATTTAGCCTTCAGCTCTAGTGCAACATATGTCTCTTTAAACCACCCAGAGACTCTCCCAGTGAGTTTTACCAACAATTATGTAGAACCGAGTCCTTTTTTTATATATAAAATGAAGTATGAAAACAAACAGTGTATAGGTAGCCTACTTATTGAATGAGCGTGTTTTTCCAAAGGTTCTTACTGTTGTTAAGGATCTACAGATGCATTTTATTTGGGAGAAACCGGGGCCAGAATGGATGTTCGCTTGTTTAGATTGCTAACTCCTGATCTCGGCATAAAAGTACTCTCACCCCTTGTATTTATTTCCAAGTGGAGAGAGTACTTTCACGAGCAACCCTGACATCTGAGCTAAATAGATAAAAAAAAAGTCAACTTAATAAAATAACAAAAATGTAAGTGACACTTTAAAACCTTAAACGTAGCCTCTCCCATGTTTGCCCACATAGAAACTACATGTTGTGTGTCAGGGCGCTTAAGAAAAGGGGTGAGGTGTAAGATGATAGAGGATGAGGGAAAGCGGAGTGTGTAGGTATGGCTCTGCACGAATTAGGTTGAATCCCGTCCACCTCCCTCCGCATTCTGTTTTAATTATGTTTTCCTCATAAAGCTGTCCCGAATCGGTGTAGCCCCACCCTAAAAACAAAAAAAACACTACAGGCTGCCAGTCCTGCTGCCCAACCTTCAGCACCAGGGACAGCTCTTCTCTTGGCTGCGGTGTCGGCGATTTACTGCCCCCATTTGTTGTTTTTTCAGCAAAGGACGACATGTCTTTCTTTGGGCGCGAATTACGACCAGTGCAGCCAGTAAAAACTAAATGAGGCCCAGTGGCAAACTGGGAGTGTGCTGCTGACTCAGCCTCGACTGCTGCATTAATTTATCTGCACTGCAGTGCTCAACCACCTCCCTTCTCCCTCCCCCCTCCTCAGAGTCTGAACTCTCTCTGCATCTCTTCTTCGCTACCTGACTGCAATCTTCCACGGCTGTCCGGTGTTAAACGTGACAGCAATACCGCTTTGGAAAACAGGGTTGATAAATCACGAGCGAAGCTGCAGGTTTCGCTCCTTTCGCCACCACGTTTAGATAATATACGGGTGGGAGTTTTAAAATAGCAAAGCGCTTGAAAAACGCTGATAGCGGGAGGGGAGGAGGGATTGAGGGGATGATATGAGTTGAGGAGTACACGTGACTTGAGAGAGAGTCAGAGCATGGAAGATGATTTGGTTTTAAAGATAGAAAAGAAGAGAGCAGAGAAATAAAGAACAGCCTCTTTTTCTCTAGAAAACAGAATCAGAAATATAGGTTTATGAATATCTCCTTAGATATATGTGCTAAATTTGACTACATTTCAAAGATGTAGCATCTACTTTAGGGTAACAGAGTTCATCGTCTGGCCGAGATGTAAACGTGAGAAGGTCTGTTGAAATCAGCATTCTTCCACCCTGCAGTGAATCCAAAATGAGGTGCATCACAACGGCTAATATATGATCAGCTATACAACCCTGACATTCAGTGTAATATAACAGAACTGTATCTGATAGACAAACAAAAAAAGACAATAATAGTGAAATAGAAAAAAAAAACGCATGGGTTTTTTTTTTTTTTTTTTTACAATAACAAGTCTAAGAAGTGTGACATACTTTTGTACTCACCACTTTACTCTGTTACTCATAAATAAAATCCAGTAAAAAATATTTACACTCATCAACCTCTGTAAGAATTATTGTTGTTTTTGGAAGGGCTAAGAAATTTAACAGAAAACTGCATGACAGGCACTAAGGAACTTAGCAGACAGGCCAGGGAGAAACATGCTGGGAAGTTCAAAGCAAAAGTGGCTTATTAAGGTTAGGTTATAACCCTAACCCCAATTTCAACATCTCACAGAGCACTGATTAATGCATTATCTGAAAAAAGGAAAACTTATTTGTCATAACTGAAAACTTAGCCATGACCTAAAGTGACTATTACCCAAAGAAGAAGCCACGATGCCCTTGTTTATTTAGGAGATTCACACCTCTGGAAGGAGGAACTGTTAACCAGGAAAATACTAGCTTTACATTACAAAAATGTGAAGGAATGTGAAGGGGAAGGGCACAGATGAAAGAAAACCACAAGATTTGCGGTTTGTAGTTTCCCATAAACCATATAAAGGATCCAGAAATGTGGAGACATGTTGAGTTGGCCAAACCATGGTGGTCTGGTCAAATGACAACAAAATGAAGTTGTAAATAAATTACAACATCCCAGTGGTGAAACACTGGGATGACTGGGAAGCTGTTCAGAGTAGATGAAAGAACCAGCCTACAAGAAAAACTTGTTCTAGACGTAAGACACATGAGAGTAGGTAGTAAGGTTGTTTTCCAGAAGGAACCCTACACATAAAAAAGATACAAGGAAAAAATTTGACCAGAACAGAGTCCTTGGTTAGAATTGCCCAGTAAAAGCCCAAACTAGTTATAAGATGCTTTTTATCCAGTCTTATGTACAAAATGTCTAAAGCCTCAATGGGCCATGAGAACAT